CCCCACGTCGCGGATAGATTACTTGTGCGGACCTTTAGTGGACCTCCCGGCCGTCCACAAAGTGTACGTCCCCGAGCAGGTTCAGCTGTCCATCACTACGCGCGAGGACCACCGCATGGTCGCTGCACACATGACCGTCCCCACGCGTGGTGGCGACACTGTGGGCCCCCCCGCGCCGTTCCGCTTCAACAAGTGGCGCCTCGGTGACACCGCGTGCGCGCAGCAGTTTGCGCGACACATGTCCGAGCTGCGTCTGTCGACCCATGGCGACATCGACGACAAGACCACGACCTTCATGGACACCGTCCGCTCCTCGGCACTGCAAGCCTTCGGCCGCCCGCAAGATCAACCCCGCCAGCCGTGGATATCTGGAGACACATGGCGGCTGCTCCGTACCCTGGCCCCGTCGCGCAGGACGATGTACCGGGCTCGTGCCGAGATCTTCAAGGCGCATTGCCACCTCGCCTTCCTGAGCTGGGCAGCCCTGTGCCCCTCCACGTTCTCGTTGACTAACGTTCCCCCCACGCGATTGGGCTGGGCGGCCAAGTGCGTGCTCCCCTCCCTGCGAGCACTCCGGCAGCAGTGGCGCCTGCTGAACGCCGCCACCACCCGCCTCTGCAGCCAGCTCACAGCGTTAGTACGTCACTTCGTCCACTTCGACCGCCAGCTCTTCCTCGAGACGAAGGCTCAGGAGGCGCAGCTGGCTGCCGTTCGCCGGGATTGGCGCACTACCTTTGGCATCGTGCGCGCGCTCAGTGGTCGGAGCGCCAGCTCCTCCACGCATCCAGTCCGCCTGAAGTCTGGAGCTCTGTCCAGCACCGAGGCGGAGCGGCAGGGGCGCTTGCAGGAACATTTCCGGGACGTCTTCAATGGCAAGCCGGTCGCCATGGCCGAGCTGAAGCTCAAGCCGACGCTTCCGCCGGACCCCTTTACCTGCGGCATCGTCGTCCTCCCCGATGCCGTGGGCGCGTCGCTCCTCCAGCTTGGGCGCAACAAGGGGGTAGGCCGCGATGGCGTTCCCTCGGAGCTGCTGGTGGCCGGCGGCGACGCCGTCAACGAACCCCTGGCGTCCATCTTCCAGGACATCATCGACGGCGAGCGCTGGCCAACCTCATGGACAGGCGGGCGTATGCAGAACGCATACAAGAAGAAGGGGCCGCGCGAGGAGCGCGACGAACCCCGCGGGATTGTCCTCGAGGACCACGCGGCCGAAGGCTTCAAGCAGCTCCTCAGTGGCCTCGTGACCCCAATGTACAACGCCCACATGCCTGAGTCCCAGCATGGGGCTGTTGCTGGCCGCGGCACCGACCTCGCTGCGCACCTCGTCCGGTCTTTCTGCGACTCCTGCACCACCAAGGGGCTCTCATGCTTCGTCTGGTTCGTGGACCTTGTCAAGGCGTTTGACCGGGTCGTGCGCGAGATCGTTCTGGGCTGGCCCCATGCCGCCACAGACCCAGAACAATATCTACGAGACCTTGGTCTCAGCGATCATCAGGCTCAGTGGATTGCTACTTGGGTTGCTCGCCGTGGATGCCTGTTCGAGCAGTGGGGCGTGTCGCCGAAGGTGATCCGGCTGCTCAAGAACATGCACGCGGCCTCGTGGTTCTCTTACGGCGATTGCGACGCCGCCGTCGCCACGCTGGTCGGCGGCCGTCAGGGCTGCAAATGCGGCGCCATGGTATTCAACAGCACGTTCTCCCTGACCATGGTCTTGATCCGGGATGCCTTGCTCGACACTGGCATCATTCTGCGGCTGCCCAAAGGACGCGATGCGTTCCGGGCGCCGCCAGAGAGCGGCGCCGACCACGCCGAAGACACCATACCAGTGGTCGACGCCGCATTCGTCGACGACGAGTGCTTCATGCTGACGGCCCCCCGCGCGGCCGACCTCGACAGCGCGATCAACGCAATACTTACGGCAGTCTGTAATATTTACGAGAGCATGAACTTGACGATCAATTGGAAACCTGGCAAATCGGAATGCTTCTTGGTCGATCGCGGCACTGGCGCCACTTCGTGCTTGGAGAAACGACGCGTCCAGCGCGGTGGTGGCCTTGCGATGGTGGACTCGCTGCCGTTTGACGCGCCTTCAGGAGATGGATGGGTCTGGAGCGGCAAAGGCGGCATGCTGTCGCAGGACGGCGTTGTGAAGATCATCTCGGACATCGAGCGGATCGAGCCCAAATGCGTGGATGGCGGCCAGGACGTGGACTTGGGACATTCGCAGCCTGTACATAATTTGGGATCGCTTCGGGGAGCGCTTCAAAGACTTCAGGATTGTCGTGGGCCTGACTTCTGAGACCAGCTTGGACCCGTGGCCTCGTGCCCGACACCCTTGGTGGAAATCAACGCGTGGCTCGTCCATCGCCGGCCTTGGCGCGTCAAATCATGACAGTGTTGAAGGTAGTGGAATACGCTGTGACATATGATCAGGCGACTGCACCGGAGTTGTCTTTCATTGAGCTGCTGTTGCGCCGTGCCCACTTGGCGGAGGACCTTGAAAACAGATGGACAGGTGGACTCCATCGTGCAGGACGAGTTATTGTACCCAGGGGTCGGGGAGACCCGCGGTCAGCTGATGCTTTGGCCGCCAGTCGCCCTGGGCATTCCGACAGCGACCCTGAGCGCATCTCCAGCCTCACTTAGTCTCATTGCTTTCGAAGGGCGGCTTTGCGGACAGCCTGTCTGGCTTGGCTTTAGGACGCTGGAAGTCTTGATCGACGAACTTGCGAGGTGAAGTCCACGCTGTCTTGTCCTGGCCTGCTTGCACAAGTCAACTTCGCAGCGACCCAGCACTCGTCGAGAACCAGGTCCGCTGCGCTAACTTCATATTGAAGATGCTGCGAACCGAACTCGTCAGCCTCCGACCGGAGCGGAGTGCCACCGTTGGCATTTTTTGTTGCAAAGAAAAGACGGACCCTTGTGCATGATATGGGACATCCGCGCGGTGAAAGCCTTGTTTGACGAGCCGGCTAACGCGTTTCGACGCCAGATCGGTACCGAGGACGATTCGGTATTATCTCAGATGGATGCTGACAGTGCCTGTTACAGAAGCAGAGCTCCCCCAGGCGTGTCGGACCATTTCGCAGTGCCCACGGCGTCTGCCCGCCAGCTCCACCTCGTGCATCCACAACTGCGAACTAAGTTGGGTCTGGGGTCCGATGGCTACTTGTCCCCGCACCTTGACGTCATGGCCATGGGCCGGGCATCGGCATCTCGCTGCTGCCAGGCGAGGGTGACCGCTAGTGCCCTTCGACCTGTGTGCCAGCGGGAGCCTTCTTGCTGGACAAGCAGCAGGCGCCCGACATCGCTGGCGAAATTTTGGCACGGCCATCTACGCCGAGACAACGCGGGGATCGCGGGCACCAGTGCCCACGCGGCGGAGGGCATGGCCAGGAGGCTCTACGACCAGCTGGCTGCAGACGCACTGCAGCGCAAAGTGCTCGAGCACGGGCTGCCCGAAGCCCAGCTCACGGGCATGAGCCTGGACGGGGCCAGCGGGGGCACTTCCGCGGCCACCGACGACGCTGGAAGTTGCGGCTCGCCATCCAAGCCACCTTGGACGAGGGCAATGCGACGGGAGAGCTGTCGCATCGCGTGGTGGGCCATTCTTCCTGGTGTGCTATTTTTCGACGCTGTCGGTTAAGCATTCCGCATGCCATCTATCAGTTCATCGACTTCGTTCGCGAGCCGCAGAATCTGGAACATATGCGCGAAGTGCTCGTAGATCTGCCGAACATGTGATGTATTCGTATGGAGATTCGACGAACAGAACCTTTTCCGGGGTACACCAATTTTGTAACCGACCCCCCATCGAGATAGGGAAAGAAGGGGAGTTGCTGCTTGCAGGCGATCGATGTGATCGGGCGCTCTCGGCGGTATCCGGGCCTCGGGATGCTCTCCAGCAGCTGTGCCCTGCCGAGGGCGTTCCGGCGGTGGCCAGGTCGTCCCGAACGGCCGTCGGAGAGCCGAGTCGTGACCCGGAAGCGGGGCAGCGGGTGTCGCTTGGGCCAGAGGGGGATACGATACCTATACGACCACCCTTCGGGTGATAAGGAGGTTTTTTTGGGGGGGAGAGGGGGGGGGGAACCAACATCCGACCCAATCGATCTCACTATCGATTTCATTCAACGGGACACCACGGGACACTTGTCGATCTCACTATCGATCCCACTATCGATCTCGCACCACGGGACACCACGGGATTCCGCGGGACACTCGGGCCGGGCGAAAGGGGGGGATTGGGAAAGGGGGGGTTACGAAATTTGCTGCATGCAGCTGGTTTCGGCCTCACCGAGGGGCCCATTCCTCGATACATAGCCGCCTCCGGCGCCGGGAGGCGCCGGGAAAATCAGCTACGCGAGCTGATTCTCAAACCCCCCTTTGCTATCCCTCCCTTTCGCCTGACCCGAGACACCGCAGCGATCTCACTGTCGATCTCACGGTCGATCTCCCTGTCAAGCGGGAGGGTGCGAAACCTGCTGCATGCAGCGGCTTGGTGCGGCCCCCGCCGCCGGGCGCCTCTCCTCGAGATGCGGCGGCGCCTCCCGTGGCCGCGGGGGAGTCGGCTGCGTGAGCTGACTTGCGGACCCTCCGTTTGCTGCTCCAGATTTCGTAATAAAAGGGAGGGGGTCTGGACCCTCCAAGACAAGCCATTTCAGACCCCCCCGTGGGAGAACCCTCCAAAACATCGTCCCCAGACCCCCCCAGGCCCTCCAAGATAGCCTGGAAGAGATCCCCCCGAAATGAGACCCCCCTCCCTTTATTACGAAATCTGGAGTACCCACAGTTCACTTCTGAGTATCCGAAGTTTCTTTGAATTTTTGTGGGGGGACCACGATCCTTTCATGTCTAATTGTTCTATCCTGGGCCTCTTCCTGGCCACTTGGGGGCCAGGAGCAATTAAAAAACGAGCAGACTTAGAAATGAGCACGATTATAAGTGAACGACGTGTACCCCCTCCCTTCGTCCTTCGTCCTTCGTCCCGTCCGACCCGAGAGGCGGTGCAGTACAAGTACATCAAGATCTTCAGCGGCTCGGTGGTGCAGTGGGAGGCGGGTCCTATGCGGGTCCTGGAGCTCGGGCGGCGACAGCTACATATGTTCACCAGCGCTGGTCTTGGCCAGGCCCACCTGGGGCCCAAGATCGGTGTATACGCCGTCTTCGCTAGGCCAGGACGGCGTATGTAGTTATCTTGGGGCCCATTCTTGGCATTTGGCAAAAGATTGTCGTCGGTGCACAGTTGTCGTCCTCGTAGGAGCTGGGCGAGATGTGCACAACCGAGGCAAACTTCGTGGAGGACGTCGCGTACGACATCGACGACAACATCGCGCGCCGCAATGGTTATTGTCGCATCAGGTTCACACCGTATGTCCATGAGGTTGGTCTTAGCATGCATGGCGATATCCGTAAGTATTACACCCAATTCGCCCAACACGCGCCGTTTGGCCAGAAACTCTCACATTCTCTCTCGCATCCGGACGCCGCCGATGTCGGGCATGTATTCGCGCGTGCGTGTTTGCCGACACGCACACGTATAGATGTATGTGTATATATATAAATATATGTACATGCTGATATGTAGGCATGTGCGTATGCATGTATGTATGTATGCATGTACGTACACCGAGTTAGTTGCAGTGTAATGGAAATGCACGTACGTGTTTGTGTGCGTGTGCGTGTGCAGGTATAGACTTAGATTAGTCGTGCGAGTATTGACGCGCACGCGTTTAGCATAATGCATGCTTATATGTGCAGGTCTGGTAAATTACACAGCGCACGTGTGTACATGGACGCATTTGTTTTGTATGGTGTCCGTTCGACTTGCGTATTTGCAGATGTACACGCCTATGTATGTTTAGCATCATGCGTAGCTGTATCTGCATTTGCCTTATTGTGCATGAGCAGATGCGAGTATATCCGCATGCGCAGGCAGTTGCATGTGTGATTGCACAGGTTCGTACACGCACTCACGATGACAGCTGCAAAATCCGCCAACACGCACGTGCACCTGCTCACGCGTGCATGTGTATAGACACTACTGGTATACATGAGTTGGCGCATGTACGCGTTGGCATACTTCCCAGTGCTTCCCGCACGCGCATGTTTATCCATATCCTTGTGCTCTCGCGTGTAAACGTATCATGTGTAGACTTAGGTGCAGGTGCCTGCCCACAAGTACCTGATTCCCACTCATGCCCATGGGCACGTGAATGTGTTCATGTTGCCGCCGCGCAGATGTACGTGGGCACATCTTGGCACGCACACGTACGTGCAGCGTTGCTGCCGTGACACGAGCCGCGAGCAGCGACGCGGCGCACGTACTACTTGCGGCCCAGCCTGGACACGGCGCGTAATGTCGCCGCTTGAGAGCCTAGCCCGCCGAAGAAGTTCAAGAGCGAGCGCGGAGGGGAAGGAGGGGTTGGCGGGGCCGGAGGCGAGATTTTTTATCCATCACCTCCGCCTGGGGTATCGATCCTCGGGGGCCTCAGCAGGCAGTGGATATGGGTAAATTCCCCCGCCCCCCCCCTTGACACCAGTGCCCGCATCTGTCCACATCCACCGCCTGCCGAGTTCCCGAGGATCGATTCCCCCAGGCTGTGGCTATCGAAAAATCACCGCCTCGCAGGGGGTGGGGTGGGGTGGGGGGGCGCCCGCTGGCGCTGCCGCCAGGATGGGTAAGGGGTCGCGAACCCCTCCCTCCTGGCAGCAGAGCCATGGCTACTCACCACCAACACCTAACACACCTTGTGGTATACTGGCCGGCCCACTGCCACCGCAGGCGAGCGAGGTCGAGGGTGCGACCCGCTGACCCCCCGCGCGCGCCAATCGGCGGCGCCGTTGGCGGCGCCTTGATGGTCCCGCCCAACGTCACAGCTGCGAGCATGACCACGCCGTGGCTGCGGGCGGGCAGGTTTGTGAATCGGGCGCGGTCTTGCGAACGTTTACGCATACGTTTCCGAATGTGGTTGCCAGCAGTACCCTTACCATGAGCATGCCAGGGTAGATGCATTGCGTGTGCATGTTCGTGTGCAGGTGCATGCTATCGTTCGCGTTTGCCTCAAGGAAGCTTGGCCCACGTATGGGATGCTCGGCGAGATGGTGGTGATATGGCTGCTTCTGAATTTTTAGTTTGCCCGATTCACTGTGTCACGCTATGGGAGGCCACTGCTGCGCGGAGAGGCTTTCATCCCAGAGAGTACATCCAGGGCCCCCATCTACTGGCACGTATGGTATATCGTCCCCGAGGGTGGCTGGCCAAATGTCACGCTTACGAAATGCCATGTTCATTGGTGTACGCGCGTGTACGCCTGCGTGGCACATAATGCTATGTATATTTGTGCGTGCGTGTTGATACGCTATCATGGAGACCCATCAGCATTTGCACAGTGTATGCGTGCGTGTGTGCGTGTGTGTTCACGGGTTCGTGTACATGATTACGTGTGCACGCGCGTGCAGGTGTATGCAATTGCAGCATACCGTGTACGTGCATGTGCATGAGCATGCGCGTTTGTACGGTCACATGCGCAAGCTTTACTGGTTATTACGTGCGCGTAATGAGCGTATCAGTGTGGGGTATGCGTGAAGAGTCGCATGTACGCGTGCCAGGACGTAGATTTATCGCTGCGCGCGTGCATATGCACACGTACGCATATATTATAGCATATAGGTTCCGCACACATACTAGCATTTAGAGTTGCTACGATTGCCTGCTTGTATTAGTTGTGCTTGCGTGTGCGACTTATGATGGTGATGGCGTGTATGGTTACGCATTGCACACTGCATGTTTACAGCATTGCACATCCACGTCGACGGTGACACGTACACTGTGGATGTGTATGTCCGCGCGTTTGCGTGCTTATGAACGCGTATGCGCGCATGCTCACATGTGTATGTGGGGACCGGCATATGTGTATGGACTTTGTTGAATGTCTGCGTCGGTTTGCGTGCGCGCAGATCAGCGCGTATGGTATCGTGTGCGCGCATGAATGTGTGTAGGTGCGTGTGCTGCTGACATGCCGAGCGCATCTGGGACCACATGTTGGTAAGTTCAGAGTCTGCGCGGCGGCGTCCAGGCCTCTTGGCTTTTTCTCAAGGGGGAGACATGAGTTGATGCCTCTCTCTATATCCCTCTCCCTCTCTCCCGCTCTTTTTCTCTCTCTCTCTCTCTCTCGCTCTCTGTCTCTCTCTCTCTCTCTTTCTCCCTCTCAGTGCGCCACCCCACACAGCTCCCAGAAGGGGGATAACCGAGGATCCCAAATCTGTTCCCATACCAGAATTCTATCAAGCAACCGAGTGCGGAGTGCGAGTATGGACCCAGTCGGCGAGCCACTATCAGATGTGTGCATGGGCCCTCAGGTTCGAGGAGCAGGCCGGCGTGGCAAAGAGCTACAGCGGCATGACGAGCCTGCAAACGAGTGGCATAGCGAGCAGCATGACCTCCCCGCTCCGTACGAGCGCCAACCCGACCCCGCCGGAGAAGGTTGGGTGCAGGACCTAGGGTTTACCGTACACCACACTAAGCCAGAACCAAGTTGGGTCTGATGGTGGTCTGCGAGGCTTCCTGTCCTGACCAGGAAGGCGTCTGCGCCGATCCTGGACCCAGACTGGGCCTGTCCACAGTTGCAGCACTGCCGATTCCGAAGGAGGGAGCTCGACGGCATCCTGTGGGAGCTGGTCAAGCTGGAGTCCAGTAGCCTGCCCAGCCGGCCGGAGATCCGCCGGGCAATCACCTCAGTACGAGCCGCCATCGAAGCCGAGCGGAAGGGGAACGCGCGGATGCGCAACGCTTGCGCCGCTTTCGTCTTCATGAGGCTTTCGTTGTGGACGGTGCTCGGCGCAACAGACCAGAGTGGCGCCAGGGGGTGGTCTTCTGGGCAGGCTGGCCTGAGACTTCTCAGAAGTCATCCTGCCTTGCGCAGAGGAGGGTACGGGGAGGCGGAAGGCTTCTTAGGAACACCCCTGCTTCTTAGAAGGCGCGGTCCTTATTTATAGATGCAGGGCCGGCGTTTTCTAAGAAGCAGCCCTCCTGAGAAGCCTTCCACCCTCGCCCTACACACTTGTACGCGCCGCCCAAGAGGCCCTCTGCGAAGCCCCCGGTCCCTTCTGAGAAGCCCCCTGCCTTCCATTTTCGCAAGGCGCCCCCCGCGCCCCATCCCCTTTTGCGCGCCGCCCAGGTGCCTCTGTTGCCACTCGTGGTCGCCAGCATCATCCTCTGGAGGGTGCCGTCAGCGCGAAGGAGGACACGGCATTCGGAGACATCCTTAGGGGCAAGAACAATAACATAAGCATCCAAATTCTGAGGTCCGCGCGGATTTCTCGGATCCGCGCTCCGCGCGCCAGGGAGAGGGGTCCAGCGCGGATCCAGGAAATCCGCGCGGACGTCAGCGTTTTTATGTTTATGCCATGTTTCGTTCCCCTACATTCGGAGACATCCCCCAGCACCGGCAGACAGGTAGAGGTCTCAGGTGCGTTCTGGCCGGAGCCCCGACGCAGTCTCAGCCGTGGCCGCGCGGGCGCCCTTGGCAGGCGCAGACTCTGACGGCAGCAAAAACAAGAACTGTATCCTCGAAAGAGCTTCGGGTTTCAATGATTCTCGATGCCCCAGTCACTTCGAATCTCGATCTTATTCCTCCTGCTCCTACTCCTCCTCCTCCTCCTCCTCCTCCTCCTCCTCCTCTTCCTCCTCCTCATTCTGCTGCCGCTCGTGGTCGCCAGCTACGTCCTGCGGGGTGGAGGGTGCCTTCGGTGCGCAGGAGGAACCAGCGACCGAAGACACCCGGTGGCCCTGGCAGACAGGGATCGACAGCGAAATTGATCAGGATAGCGATCGGCACGATCCCGCGGCGTCCTGGGCCGCTCAGCGGGACCAGGGCGTTCATCAAGCAAGGGCGCCTGGCAAGAAGCCCAGGAGCCGACCCTGGGGCGGGTCAGCCTCAGCAAGCGGGGAGGGGATGCCACACGCCCGCTCGAGGAAAGCGGCGGCCGTCAGCGAGCTGCGCGCGGCGTTGGCGAGGTGGGCGACGGAGAAATGCGAGGTCGGCCGCGCAGGCACTGGCGCGCAAGCTGCGAGCGCAAGGTCGCGCGGGCGGGCCCTCGCTTCTGCGCTCGCGGGCCGCCGCGCGAGGTCGTCGGGGCTTCATGCGTTGCCCGAGGCAGGGATCGGTGAGCCTCCTCACCCACTCAGGAGGCGATATCTCCTGCGACTCGCGTTCTTTCTGATGTCAAGTGGTCTTGTTTGTGCAAGTTTGTACATCGACAAGTTCGCCAGCGTGGACCCCAAACAGTGATTATTGCACTGTGGAGGTGAAAGCGATGCGGTGCAACCGATTTGGTGAAAGCTGTGCCGTGTAAGCGACGTTGTGTGAAGTATGGAGATGAAAGCTACGTGGTGTAAATTAATGTTTGGACCACTTGAAGTTGTCAACCCATTGATCGTGCAAACAGTTCACTCACCCACCTGCAACTGGTTGGCGAAACGCATTAGGCCACGTTTGCGGCTGCCCGCTCGAACCTGCTAGCGCGTCACTACGACCGCATTGGCGCGCGCACTTTCGTGCGCAACTCGGCCAGCTTGCTTGGTCTCGCGGATGCGGCCGCGATGGCGCTTACCGATGGGAATTGCCAGGCGCGTCTCCACGGCCGCGGGCACGCGGGCACTCCAGCGCGAATCGGTGACCCGGCCAGCGCGATGTCATTTTGACGTCGACAACGGCGGCAACGATGATGATTTTAACGGAGGTGGTGGCGATCGCGACGACGGCGACGACGACAGGGGCAATGGCAGCGCCGATATTGGTGACGACGATGATGTCCATACGCCGGTGATGAAGCCGATTGTGACGATGATGGCAGCAGTTGCGGCGATTGGCGATGACGGTGCCGGTGGCGATGCGACGGGGCGCCTCAGGGACGTGGACGGGTGCGCGCGGCGGCGCGCGCATGTGGCCCGCATGTCAGTGTTGGATTCGGATACGCGCATTGGGCGTACACCTTAGGCGATGCTTAAGAAAACCTAAGTTTTCGGCCGGAGTCTCGATTATTCGTAATTTCAATGTAAATCCTAAGATTTCAATCGAAATTCTGGGTTTTATTCAAACTCTGAGTCTATCAGTTTCTTAACCCATGATTTCTAAAGCATTTCGCAGGGTGTATACCAGCGCGGATGCGCCGCGTGGTGAGATGAGAAGTCGGCTTCTGGATGGCATGAATGGAACAACGACGTGCGTGTGCGTTTTGGTTAAATGGTTTCAGCAAGTGCGCGCGTGTGAAGCATGTGCACTTGCCCACTGGCACAGCACAAGGGTGGTTCATGCTGTTTGTGTTTGAACCGCTTGCGCCATTAATTTGTTTGCGGTGATTTTGACATGTACGCACGCGTGTTGTATATTGTATGTTGTGTGCAGGGGTCTGACGGAACAAATGATAGTTTAAGATGAACGAGAGCGCGCGCACGTTTTTTTTGACAGGGGGACTGGGGAGTCGATACCGGTCTGGTTGGGATGGTACGACCCCTTGAAATATGAACACTGGTGCAGCAACCAACGTAGATTGCAATACCCCATGGGGGCCCTGTAAATCCATGTGCGGCAAAATAGTTGAGTTTTTCCTACCGTTCGAGAAGGAGGCTGGGCGGGAGCTGGGATCGCAGCGTGTGTGGTGCGCGCTCTGCGGGGCGTAAGCTACTCGAGCTATCTCGTGCGCGCCATGTGGTGCAAGGCATGTCGTGTACTTCACGCGCGGTGCACGCTACGCGGCGCAAGTTCCGCGGAGGGGGCGCCTACGACCGCCCAGCGAGGCGGCGCGGGTCGGCGGACCGGCCCAGCGCACGGGGCGACCTGGAGCACCCGCAGGGCGGCAACGTGGCGGCAACGTGGCGCTACGTGGTGGCCCCACGCAGCGCACAGGGCCCCCACGAGTGCCCACGAGGCGGCACGGGGCGGCCACGTGGCGCAGCCTCGGCGGACCCACCCCGCGCACGGGGCGCCAACGAGGCGGCACGGGCGGCCACGCGATGTCTCCGCGGCGGCTGCCGTCCGGGCAGTGGGTCCCCAACAATTCAACAATCGGGAACAGGCGAATGATGGGAAACCGAGGGCCCGCGGCGTGGTCACCACGTTTCCCTAAAGTCGAATTCCGGATTATGGGGAACCTGGACTCACCTCGCAAAAAAGCTTGTGAGCTGACTCTGGGTTTCCATAATTCGATGTTATGGGAAGCCCAGAATCAGCTGACAAAATTCTTTTGTATTCATTCCAGGTTTCCCATAATTCGATTCCGCATTTTGGGAAGCGGGGCGGCAGATCCCCGTTCCCCGCAATTCGAATTCAGAATTTCGGGAAACCAGGGGGGAGAGGCCGCTGGGGTGGTTGAGCTATGGAAAGCTTGGAATCACTACAAAAACTGTCCTCTATGAGTTGATTCTGGGTTCCCCATCGTTCGGAATTATGGGAAACACGGGCCGGAATCAGGTCAAAGACTGCGGTTTTCGTAGTGATTCCAGGTTTCTCATAATTCGAATTCGAAGTTTCCTATATTCGAATCATGCGAAGCCTGGAATCACCACGAACAACCGTGCTCTATCAGCTGATCCCGGGCTTCCCAACATTCGGAATTATGGGAAACCCGAGTCAGCTCATAAAGTGCGATTTTTCGTGGTGGTTCCAGGCTTCCCTCAATTCGAACCCCTTATTTGGTGAAGCGGGGGCGGCAGATTCCCGCAATTCGGAAAGTTCTCCGCAATTCGAAATCAGAATTTCGGGAAACCCTGTGCCAGAGGCCATTGGGGGGTTTGAATTATGAGAAGCTTGGAAACACCACACTAAAAATAGCACTCTGTGAGCTGACTCCGGGTTTCTAGAAATTCCTGATTCCAGGTTTCCCATAATTCGGAATTATGGGAAACCCGGAATCAGCCCATAGGGTTTGGTTTTTCGTAGTGACTCCAGGTTTCCCACATTTCGGAATTATGAGATCCCTGGAACCACAACAAACAAGGGGCACGCGTGCCAAGGATCCTACAATGACGATGTGGGTCCATGGGAGATGGAGAAAACCAGGGAGGGAGGAGGGCGGCATGGTGGAGCCAAAACGGCTACGGAAAGAAACGCGCGGGTAGCCCTCTCCCTCGGCAGAATCCCCTTCGGCGCTTGCAGAGGTCAGGGTGTGCTAAGATCTCTAGTGACGACTTCAGAAGATGTGTAATTCGCGCGCGCGGGGCAGGGGGCCCGGGGAAGGCGGGGGGGCGCGGGGGAGGGGGCGCGGGAGCCCGGGGAGGGTGGGGGGGGGCACGGCGGCAAGGGGAGGGGGCGCAGGGAGAGAGCGGGGGGGGGGCGCACGGTCGGAATAAGGGGAGGGGGCCCGGGAAAGCGGGGGAGCACGGGGGAGGAGGTGCGGGGCCCGGGGAGGGGGGGGAGCACGGCGGCAAGGGGAGAGGGGCGCAAGGGAGGAGCGGGGGAGGGGGGGCGCACGGTCGGAATAAGGGGAGGGGCGCCCGGGGCGGGTGCGGGGGGGGGGGGGGGCACGGGGGAGGGGGCGCGGGGGCCCGCGGAGGGTCGGGGGAGGACGAGGGCAGGGGGAGGGGGGTGCAGGGGAGGAGCGGGGAGTGGGCGCACGGTCGGAATAAGAGGAGGAGGGCCCGGGGACGGCGGGGGAGCATTCAGGGAGGGGGGCGCGGGGGCGCGGGGAGGGTGGGGGGAGTGCGGGGGCAAGGGCAGAGGGGCGCAGGCAAGCTAGGTGCGCGCGCGTCTTATCCGACGTCCTACCCCTCCCTCCCATCCCTTACCATGGCGCTGGCTTTTCTCTATAGGCGGATGCGTCTCAGAGCGAACCTGGGACTCCGAAAAAGACCCCATCGCGCAGGATGATGAGGAAGATGAATAGACCCCCATAGCGGACCTGGGGCAATCAGAGCACGATCAGCAGGAAGATGAGCAGGAGAAAAGGGAGGAGCAGGACGGCCAGGGGAAGTCGGAGTGGCATGGCACGGGAAATGAGGCCAGCGCTGCAGCGGGACTACGATTCGGAACGAGCGGAAGCGCAGAAATGAGGCCAGCGCTGCAGCGGGAGCACGGTTCGGAACGAACGGAAGCGCGGAAACGTGGCCAGCGCTGCAGCGGGAGCACGATTCGGAGCGAGCGGAAGCCCGAAAATGAGGCCGGCGCTTCAGCGAGAGCAGCATTTCGGAAACAAAAACCGAGCGAAAACCTAACTCCCTGGAATCCTGTGTAAAAAAACAGTGCGCGGAGGGGTGCATGCCATTTCCCGACGTACCCAGGGGTGAGAGGAGAGTAGTATTCATATTGGGCACTTGTAAAGGAGCGGAGCCTAGGGGGGGGGGCACGGTCGGAAGAAGGAGAGGGGGGCCCGGGGGCGGCGGGGGGAGCACGGGGGAGGGGGCGTGGGGGCCCGGGAATGGCGGGGGGAACACGGGCGCAGGGAGAGGGGAGCGCAGGGGAAAAGCGGCGGGGGGGCGCACGGTCGAAATAAGGGGAGGGGGGCCGGGGGAGGGCTGGGGGAGCGCGAAGATGGGGGCGCGGGGGCCCGGGGAGAATGGGGAGAGCACGGGGGCAAAGAGGGTGTGTGGACTGGTGCTGTCGCCCGAGCGTTTTCCACGTCTCTCTCTAAGAGCGGTGCTGTCGCCTGCGCGCTGGCCGCATCCCTCATTGGTGCTGGCTGTCGTGCTGCTGGCCGTTCTGGTGGAGGTGCTGGTTGTCGTGCTGGTGGTCGTGCTGGTGGTTGTGCTGGTGGTGATGCTGGAGCAGGGAAGGGGGGCGCACGGTCGGAATAAGGAGAGGCGGGCCCGGGGAGCGCGGGGGGAGCACGGGGGACGGGCGCGGGGGCCCGGGGAGGGTGGGGGGAGCACCGGGGCAAGGGGAGAGGGGCGCAGGGGATGAGCGGGGGAGGGGGGGCACACGGTCGGAATAAGGGGACGGGGGGCCTGGGGAAAGCGGGGGGGGCACGGGGGACATGGCAGGGCGCGGGGGCCCGGGGAGGGTGGGGGGAGCACCGGGGCAAAGGGAGAGGGGCGCAGGGGATGAGCGGGGGAGGGGGGGCACACAGTCGGAATAAGGGGACGGGGGGCCTGGGGAAAGCGGGGGGGGCACGGGGGACATGGCAGGGCGCGGGGGCCCGGGGAGGGTGGGGGGAGCACCGGGGCAAAGGGAGGGCGGCGCAGGGGGGGAGCTGGGGGGACGGTCGGAATAAGGGGAGGGGGTCCCGGGGGAAGGCGGGGGGAGCACGGGGAGGGGGGCGCGGGTGCGCGGGGAGGGTGGGGGGAGGACGGGGGCAAGAGGAGGGAGGCGCAGGGGAGGAGCGGGGGGAGGGGCGGGGGGGGCGCTCGGTCGGAATAAGGAGAGGGGAGGGCCCGGGGAGCGCGGGGGGAACACGAGGAGGAGGCGCGGGGGCCCGGGGCGTAGGGGGAGCACGGGGGCAAGGAGAGGGGAGCGCAAGGGAGGAGCGGCGGGGGGGCGCACGGTCTGAATAAGGAGAGGCGGGCCCAGGGAGGGCGGAGGGGAGCACGGGGTACAGGGCGCGGGGGCCCGGGGAGGGTGGGAGGAGCACAGGGGCAAGGGGAGGGGGGCGCAGGGGGGGAGCAGGCAGGGGGGGCGCACGGTCGGAATAAGAGCAGGGGGGCTCGGGGAACGCGGGGGAAGCACGGGGGAGAGGGCGCGGGGGCCCGGGAAAGGTGGGGGGAGCACGTGAGCGGGAGAGGCGCGCAGGGGAGGAGCGGGGGAGGGGGCGCACGGTCGGAATAAGGAGAGGGGGGCCCGGGGAGGGCGGCGGGAGCACGGCGGAGGAGGCCAAGGGTGGGGGGAGCACGGGTGCAAGGGGAGGGGGGCGCAGGGAAGGAGCGGGGGGCCAGCACGACCACCGGCGTGACCGCTAGCACGACCAGCCACCAGCACGACCACCAGCACAACAACCAGCACGACCACCAACACGACCACCAACACGACCACCAGCACCTCCAGCACTACCAACCACCAGCACAACCACCAGCACGACGACCAGCACAACCACCAGCACGACCACCAGCACGACAACCAGCACCTCCACCAGAACGGCCAGCAGCACGACCACCAGCACCTCCACCAACCACGACCACCAGCACGACCAGCCAGCATCACCAACCACCAGCACGACAACCAGCACAACCACCAGCGCGACCACCAGCACAACCACCAGCACAGCCACCAGCACGACCACCAGCAGGACCACCAGCACAACCACCAGCACGACCGCATTACGAGCGCACGGTCGAAATAAAGCAGCGCGAGATCACATTGGTAGGTATGATGATAATTCTACCCTCCCAGGGGTCCCAGGCAGTCGTCCGGCCAGAGGTTTCCCATAATTCCGAAGTATGAGAAACCCAGAATCAGCTCATAGAGTGAGGTTTTTCGTCGTGATTCCAGGTTTCCCATAATTCGCACGCCTTCGGTAGGCCTACCCAGCGCACGGGGCGCCCACGAGCGCCAACAAGGCGGCACGGGCGGCAACGTGGCGCAACGTCAGCGGACCTACCCAGCGCACGGAACGCCCACGAGCGCCCACGAGGCGGCACGGGGCGGCAAGTGGGACAATCCTTTGTGGACTTATCCAAGGATTGAAAAAGCGCAGGCGCCCCTCATTGCAAACACTGTCTTGGAAATGCGATGCGTAAAACATTGCATCCCGCGCGAACCCTAAATCAGTGAGTTCTTGTACCGTCAATGGGCAAGATACGTGGTGCGGCTTGTGTGCTGTAAACCAGGTGGTGCAACTTACGTGGTGTGAGCTATGCGATGCTAATCTGCCTGTTGCAAGCTACACGGCGCCAGCTACATGTAAGTCTGGCGCGTCTCTCTACAGGAGGAATATTTAAGCATAGTTGTTTTACGTCTGGCGGCCATTATTCGGTTATTGTTTGACAGTTGTTGAATATGTGATGGTTATTCTCTCCTCCAAAATCCGCCTGTAGGGGGACATGCCCGACCTAACTATTGGGGGGTGCCGATGGGGCTCCGAGAGCACTTGGAACCGTCTTGTGGCCCTCGTCGGGCCTCGTGCAGGCATGTCAGAAGAAATTTATATTGGACCATCGTTGACTATCTTGAGCCGTTTTGGAGGCCATCTTTCCAGACATGCGACGTCCTGCTTTTTTCAGGACGGCGCCCCCGGAAGTCCAGACCCTTTCCCTGGGGCCGTTTTTTCGTTCTGAGTGGTTTTTTGGCGGTCCCGAGGCCCGGTAAGGGCCCCCCATGGGGCCGAAACTGGCGAAAAACTCGCCGCCCTGATTTTGTTTCACGACGCGGTCGTGTCTGGGTCGGTTGCCGCTCGTGGGCGCCTCGAGGGCGCCTCGTCGTGCGCTGGGCGGTCGTGGCTCGCCGGGTGCCCCCGATGGCTGCCGCCGCGTGGGCGCCGCGCCACCCGCGGGTGCCACCCGTGGGCGCCGCCCGTGGGCACCGCCCGTGGGCGCCACGTGGGCGCCCCCGAGGCTTGCACTGTGCGGCGTTCGGTCGGGCGAGTCCCTTTCCTCCTCCTCCTCCTCCTCCTCCTCCTCCTCCTCCTCCTCCTCCTCCTCCTCCTCCTCCTCCTCCTCCCCATCGTCCTCCTCCTCCTCCTCCTCCTCCTCCTCCTCCTCCTCCTCCTCCTCCTGAGCCCGACGGAGCTGAAACCGTAGACGACGTTCCCGCTGAGGACTGCCCGCCGCCCCGCCCCCCCCCACCCATCCTCTCGTGGAGGCCCCGGGCGAGGAGCGCGCCCGAGGCCGCCAGTGAGGCTCACCGGCGCCGCAGGGACAAAGAAACAGAAACAAACAGTTTCAAACATGGTCAGAGGACAAATCGATAGAGGACAATCGATCTTCAGATATAAACATATCCAAACATATTCAAACATATTCAAATCATGGTCAAACGTCGTCCCGTTTCATGTTTGGATTCTTTTTGGGTGATGCCTCTGGTAGAGTCTTGCACCACTCAGCGATCGGTCAGGGGCGCCCAGGGTGGCCCAAGAGGGCTCCAAGAGGGCAGGGCGTCCGATGCTCCACGACTCCAAGATGCTCCACGACCGAGACAGGGAGGAGGGAGGAGGGAGGAGGGAGGAGAAGGAGGAGGAGGAGCAGGAGGAGGAGGGGAGGCAGGAGGGAGGAGGGAGGAGGAGGTGGAGGAGGAGGAGGAGGCTCGATGCTCGCCTTTTCTGGGGCCTCGACATGATCGCGTCGCTTAAAAATCAGGACGGCAAGGTTTTCGCTAGTGTCGGCCCCTGGGGGCCCTTACCTGGCCTCGGGACCGCGAAAACAGACTCAGGATGAAAAGCTGGCCCTGGGGAAAGGGTCTGGACTTCAGGGACGCCGCCCTGAAAAAAGCAAGACGTCGCATGTCTGAGGGCGAAACCCCACCACACCCACCCAGCGCGCGGGGCGCCACGCGCAGAAAGAGAAGCCCAGTGTAGGCACTCGTGGGGCAACATCTTCCACCCCCCACCCACAGAAAAACCGCATACTCACCAGTACGCCATTTCCTCCGCTTGACAGGTGCGTCTCACAGAACGGCGGCGGCGCGCAGGCGCTGGCCGGCCCGCGGCTGCAGGCGCCGCGGGCGCCGCCCCTGCCGCCTGGCGGGCCGCCCGCGCGGCAGCTGTGCTCTTCGAGCGCGGGGGCCTCCGCCTGCGCCGCCTTGCTCGGCCGGCGGCCGTGAGTGCGCCCCGCGGCGGCCTCTCCGCGGCGGCGTGTTCGGGCGCCGGCCGGCCTTGGCGGCCGCGCGCCCGCGGCCTCACGCGGCCGCCTCGGCCTCGGGCGCGCCGAGGCCTTGGCCAGCTGCGCACTGGCTGCCGCCGGGTGCGCCGCGGCCTCGGCGATCGCTGCGCCTCGCGGCGGGCTAGCGCGGCCGCGAGCTGCGCCCCGCGGCGGCGGCCCGGGCGGCCGCGCGCAGCGAGAGTGGACGGGTTCGGTGCGGTGGGTTCGCGTCGTGTCGACCAGCGGCGGCCCCTCCGATGCTCGGCGAGGCACCGTCGATGCTTCGACGATGCGTCGCCGATGCGTCGGCGATGCATCGGCGATGCATCGGCGATGCGGCCCGATCCTCCGACCCCATCTATTGTAGGTTCGCGTTCTGTCGACCGGCTGCGGCCCCGCCGCCCGCGTTCAACGTTGAACACGGCCGGCGACCCATAATCATCTGATGTTGAACGATCTTACGTTTCCGGAGCGGCCGATCGTTCAAGGTTGAAGGATCCCCGCGGCGTCAGAAGCCAAAGCCGAAGGCAGCACGAAGCTGCCGCAAATGGGTTCGGCAGCAGCATAGTGGAGCCTTGTCTGTCCTCGCATCTCCGTCGGCAGAGTGCATTCGCGTGCGCTAGCGTCGATTCATCGATGAACAAGGCGTCGGTTTAGCGCCGAGTGGCGTCGACTTAGCGTCGGCTAGCGCCGATAAGCGTCGGCCAGCCTCAGCCAGAGTCGATTCGCAAGAGCGAGCAAGATGGCACGGGTGTCTCCCATGAGCTGCCATCGGAGATAGGGTCGGAGGATCGAATTGCATCGCCGATGCATCGGCGATGCGGCTCGATTTTGAACCCGATGTTTCCACACCGATGTCGCCGACTGGCTGCGCTCGGCGAACACTCGGCGATTACGCCAGGACGTGGTCTGCGATCTGCATTATTGGGGATTTTAGGGGTCACCACGTTGCGCCGGAGATTTGAGGAGCCCCCGTCGTGGCGCGGCAGAGGGCTCTGCAGCTCCAGCCGCGCGTTGCAGACCACATCCTCTCAGGCGTGTCCCTGAACATCGTAGGACGCCATGCCATCTGAGACTGTATCGGAAGACATGAGCGAGAGTGATCGCATGCACCTTTTCAAGTCAACATGCTGCACACCTGACAGGGGACCGCGAGGCCCGCTTCCCTGAACCAAAAAGGTCATGGAAAGGGTCTCGGGTTCTGGCGAAGCTAGCACGAATACTGTAAGCGCACGCTGAGGTTTCAGATTCACACCGGTCGTAGTCTACTGCTCAGATCCCGCTGAGCTCCTCGAATCTCCTGAGTCATGCACATGTTTCTCTGTAGTCTGGGCCGTGTAGGCCTCCTGCGCCTCGCGAATCCGACGATACGCTTCAACCTCGTAGTTCAAGGCGTCGCCCTCGACATCCTGTCGGCCTCCCAGTCCATCTCGTACAGGTCCAAGCCCGTGAAGCAACACTCCGCTGAGCAGCGAAGGAGGTACCCTCCTTTCTCCGATTGCGGTCCTGCTCGCTCTGCTGCAGCACCACGCTGTCGGACGTGATGCCGTCCGTACGTTCCAGAGCATGTCGAAGTAGCGCGCTCTCGCCATTGCGCTTTGTGAGAGCATCGGTGGGCTGACTGGTGCCCTCGACCCAAGGAAGGTGGACCTGAGGACGCTGCATGGCTGCACGAGCGATGGCCACGTCGATGGCCGCCCTCTTGTCGTCCGACAAGCCTGCCTTCGGGTTGGTGACGTGGCCAAAGCTTCATCCCGAGTCGGCGACGCTGATGACTGCAAAACAGCCCGCCAGCAGGTAGGGGCTCGTGAGGTCGAACTCGGGGCCTGCGATCTGCAGCAACATGGTCCTGATACAAATGTTCCATGGCCATCCCTTCTGACATGGTCAGCGTCTCCCTGGTGTGCACGAGTTCTCTTGAACTCCCGTCCAGGACTGGATAGAGATGATTGTCGTCTCGCCCTTCAGGATCTTCCGACTCGTAGCGAACACGATGTAACCCGCTTGGGAACCCTCATCTTTGGCGTTGGCCCAGGCCTCGTCGTTGAAGTTTCAGCGAAGGCCAGCTCGTAGAAGGGGATGTTCTCTACCTTGAGTGTTACCCCGCAAAACTCCTGGGTCATGCAACCGACTCTATACTCGCCCCCAGAAGGTCGTCCACTGTCAGGTTGAGCATCTCGCCCTGAAGTAGTGATACTGGCCCTGGAAAGTCAGGACGACTCTCCCTGGCCAGGAAAGAGATTGAACCGCACAGACTCATTGCCTGGTGTAGTTCGGCTGGAGTAACTGGAGCTTGAGGCTCCTTACGTCGCTCCGTAAATATGCCGATCAGTTGGATGTCCGCCGAGCTTCGACTCTGAGATTCCGTGATTTCGCTGTTGCCCAAGGATTGCACCAATTTCTTGCCCGTGTATTTGCCCTTCTTGTAAAACAAGGCTCCGAAAGAGAACCACATGCGCAACTTCTCGCAAGCCTCCTCGAATTGCTTGTCGCCTCCGTTAACGGCGTCGTCCACCGTGAGGCCCATGATCCCGCGCAGACCCTTGTGGCCCCTCAGGTAGAAGACGCAGCCGTCGATGATGGAGCACTGGAAGCCGATGTCCGTAGCTTAGTTCGTGAGCGAAGATAACCACTGCACTGGGGCATCTCCTAGTGCGTAGGCAGCCTTGAGCAACTCAACCAGTGAGCCGGTCTCGACGCCTGGGCTGCCCGACCGGAGCTCGGCTCTTGGCCTTGCCTTTGCGGCTCTTCTTCTCGGGGGGAGCCAGGGTGTCCAGTTGGATCTTCTCCTCGATGTTGGCGATCCTCTGGGCCACAGGTATGGCTGAAGCTAGGTCGTTCAGTTTCAGCTCGATGATGCCGAGCACGCCGTCGAGGTGGTCGTAGCGCTGCGTCTCCATGGAGGCTGGCCCCGGCTCGATGCCGGTTCAGCGCTCGAGCCCAGGAGGACGGAGGCTGATCGCCCCCAGCTGGTTCGGGAGGAGCTGCGCTGGGCACTGTCTCCTCGGCTCCGTCTGGAGGCTCCCCTTGTCGGGCGAGGTTCTCGCACTCGGGCCTGCCGTGCCAAGGTTCTCCGTGCCAATGGCGGCGAGGTTCTCCGTGCCAATGGCCTTCTGCGTCGAGCCGTCGATCTGCTCCCATGCGGACGTCTCGCTCCCGCTGGCGCGGCGAAGCCGCTCAGGGGAGCACGTCAGCAGCCGCCAATGGCAAGAGCACCAGACCGCGCTCGGCAACTCCGTCTGGAAAACCCGAGCGGGTCCATGCCAGGAGCTAGCAGGTGACTTGTCGGCACTGCTTCTCCAGCAGTAGCAGCGACCTCCTGGCTGAAAAGTGGCCCCGCGGGTTGGTCGAATGCTTCGGTTGGGTGCCCCGCGCCATATCTCCGAGCGCCCCGCCTCGATGTGGGTCGCCACAGCCGCCTCGCGCATGTCGTCGCCCCTTGCGAGTTCGGCGTCGCCGCCCATGGCCCGTGATGCCGTTGGTGAGTCGGGCGGCCCCTCCTCCGAGATCTTCTCAAGTAGTCTCTAAGGCCCCCCCCCAAAAAAAAACACCCGCTGGCAGGGAGGTGAACCTCCATTCCGCGCGCCCTCGGCAGTCGCGACGTCGACGGAATCCACCAGCTCGCGGTTGTCGTCCCAGTTGTTGGCGTGGAACTCCTGCCGCGCGCGGTAGAAGGCCCCCTTCAAGGCGCCTCCAGCACGCTCGGTCTGGCCCGCATGCCGCGGAAGGGTCGCGCTCGTCGCCTTGGCCTCGGCACCGTCGCCCTCGGCTGCGCCGGTACATGCCTCAGCTGAGAAGCCCCTCTCGCCGTCGGCCACGATGGCCCTCGGCGCGCCGTGCACCCGCTTGCCGAAGGCGCGGCAGCGGCGTCGCATCGGATGCCCACGCTTGCTCGGCAGTGGTGCCACGACCTAGAGCCCAGCACCGCGGCAAACGATGTTGAGCATGGGTACCTCGGCGGTGTTCTCGGGGTCGAGCACAAAGAAGGTGTCCATCCCGATGGCGTCATTGAGTTGGTGCGTCGTCGGGACCGCGGGCGGTTTCGCCAGCCTCGACCGTTCGTTGTTCTCGCAGCTTGGTCACGCCATGTGATGGGCCGCCTCGACGAAGGCCTGACGGGCCTTGCCGCACTTCAGTTCCATGACGAGGTCGCCGTTCCTGCAGTCACTCATGTTCTCGTTAATCGTATGCACCTTCTGTTTGACATGAGGATCTGCGCTAATCTCGCCCACGTCATTTGATGCGGGAGCTGCGCAGCACGCATGCATACCAGGTCCGCGTCGGATATCGTCGGCATTGTTCTCGAAAGCCAGCCTTGTCTCTTTCGCGATGGCGCGCGCGAGGGCGCCTGCAAGCTCATGTGGGCGCCCAGGCATGTCTCCCAGCTTTTTCCGGCCAGGGGCATTGACATACTCATGGCTCTGCACCTTCCCGAGCTTGTCGGATGTCCCGGGCAAGTTGGACAAACAGCTGCGCCCTCTAGCATTGACCTTCCCAGAACGTCAGTTAGTCGGCTGAGCTTCTTGATCAGCTTGTCCTCCCACTCGCGGAGGTTCCCGTCTTGATCGCAGTGCAAGTATTTGCCGTTGATCGCCTGCTTGATGGCCACGTCCGACATGAAGGACCTCATGTCCTTTCCAAACATATCATTGAGCTTCTGGTTGTAGATGTATCTGGGCGGCTTCAAGGCCACCAGCAAAGGGTTGGAGCTCACGACCACGTTCCAGGCCTCCTTCTGGCCGCCTCCTGGAAGCAGGTGTTGCCCAGTAGGTATTACCACGTGTCTCAACTCCGTCGTGTCCAGCGCCGCCGTGCCCGCGGACGTCTCTCGCCGAGGGGTCCCGCCCTTCAGAACAAAAAAAAAAAAAAAAAATCCGTCGTGTCCAGCATCGACGCCCCACGATCCTCGCTCAGTTGATCGCTCGCGTCCTCGAACGTCCCGCCGAGCTCAGGGGGTAAGACGGCGCTCTTTGGAATGGCCCACCCCCACCCGCCGCGAGAAGCGCCTCCTGCTCGCCCAGCTTCCTACAGAGAGCGGCTGCGTACCCTCGTACCCTTACCGTCGAGCTCGTTCGATCCTCGCTGACGTCCGCGCCGAGGGGACGACGCAGGCTCTCGACCAGGGCGTCGCTCGCCTCGGCGGCACTCTCGTCCCGCAGGGGCTCCCTCGGAGCCGTCAGGGCCTGGCTGCGCTGCGATATCCTACTCGCCCAGCTCCTCACGCGCGTCCTGGCGCTTAGTGGGCCCTGGAAACGACAGGGCCGTTTTCTTTACCGGTTCCGCTTTGCCTTTTTTTGCCAGTTCCGACGCCGTTTTTTTACCGGTTCCGTCGCCGTTCTTTCACGGGTTCCCGGTCCGGTTCCAATCCTGGAGCCGTTTTTGTTGCCGTTTCCGGTCGCCTTTTTTTTGCCGTTTCCATTTTCAAGGGACCTTTTTTGCCGTTTCCATTTTCAAGGGACCGTTTCATGGAAACGGTGAAAAAAAACGGCCCTGCCGTTTCCGGGGCCCATAAAGGGAGGCGGGGGGGTGGGGGGGCGATGAGGCGCTCGCCAATCGCGTGCGTGGCAGGCGCAGGTCCAAGGATGCGCTTGGCCGTGCTTCCATGCACTTCGCAGGGGCACCTGCCTGATCGGGGCCCTGCGGTCACAGCCGCCCCCGCTGCGCCTGTGCCTTTGCCGTTGCCTTTGCCTCTCAGCTCGCCTGCCCGTCGCTCGCCGGCACCTCCGTCGGGACTGGGAGCCTCGTCTCGGAGACCCGTCGCGGGCTCGCTGCTGGCCCCGCCGTGCAGTCGGGGCGCTGAGGCAGTAACCCTTTGCGTTGGGGAGGGGCTCCGTATTCCTGAACTGTGTCACAGTTGGCCTTCGATTTTCCTGAGGCCTCCCACGGGAAATCGAATTCTAACGTATGGAAAAACGGGGACTCGTTCCTTATTTGTATTTCCTTTGGTCAACGCCCCGATGGTAGGCCTCCCCTTTTGTGGGCGATGGCCCCTTCTGAGGCCTCAGATGCCAGCCCTTGCTGTGAGCCTCCAAGTCCGTGGACCCATCGGTCGTTGAAAGTAAGTATTTGGGAATTCCCACCTTTCAATCTATCTGAAGAGCCTTCCTACTTCAATGATCGAGTGGGTTAACCTTTCCCGTCCTCCCAAGAGGGCGGCCGGAACGCAATCTATGTTCAACGCCTTCGTACTGCATGTTTATACCCACTTCTTCCGACCGATGGGTACTCATTGAGGGTCGCCATCGCCTTTTGCCTGCCGGGAGCCGCCCTCGGGTAAGATTCCAGATGTAGTTTGCAGGCGTTGCACTGGGCGTAGAGGCCCTTCGCGCTCCCGCCGTGACTGCAGCACTCGTGCAGGCAGCTCGTCTCCTCCATCGGGTTGTGGCCACCGGCACTCAGCCCGACCGTCGGCAGCCTCGGCCCTCGATTTGGTTTCTCGAAGTGCTGGCACACCAGGGTGCTCGTCGGGGGTCTGGGCTCGTCGCTGATCTCGTGCCAGTGCCACTTGAAGGTGGCCATGCTTTTCCTTTTTCCACTGTCCTCGATGTTCTCGTCTTGGTTGGTGCTGTGTTCCCAGCCCTTGGCGGCGCCGTGCCAGTCGTCGCCGATGCGGTTGGTCCGCGCGACGAGGAAGGCCGCGAGAGCCGAGTAGACGTACCCGGGAGCTCGTCGCAGGACATGTCGATATGAAAGTGAATTTGCATGCTTGGGTCTGGATGTCGAGCTCGAGCCAAGCTGACTTCAGTGCTGCTTCATGTTGCTGAGAATACTGTTTATCTGGAGCTTGTTACTGTTACCGATGTTGCCGCTCTGCTTCGCGTTGCCAGGGATGTTGTTGGTCTTGATGTCTTGTTACTGCTGACGATGGTGTTGGGAATATTGTTGCTGTTGCTTAGATGTCTGAAGAACCTCCTTATATCATCGGTCCTCGGCTCTGTTATCGTCCTCCATGCGCCCCTTGGTCTTCGTAGCAGTCCAGCTATGTTGGTTGTTGTTTGCCTTGAGTTCGCTTATCTACTTTTGTTGGTTGCGTCACATCTCTGTTCTATACCTCCAGCCTGGTCCTCGATAGGCGTCATCACCAGGCGCGCAAGTGTTTGTGACGATGGACGTCGAACGATGTTCATATTCGGACCTGGCTCCTGGAGATCTCCTCCGTGCACAGTGTCCAGCTGGCAGGCTTGCTCCACGGTTTTGTGAAGTGGCCTAGCTGCAGCGGGAATTGACCCCCACCAGCGCGTGCCAGAGGGAGCCAAAGGTTTTGTTCAGGCAAATCCAGTTCCGACTGAAACGCGTGCAGAAGTGCTTCCATTTGCACGACGAATGTCATGGACAGGAGGAGTGGAGCGGCACCCTTGATCAAACACACGAAGATGACGCCGAAGTAGTTCCCCACCGTGGTGGGAATGATGACGCCCTCGGTCGCCGTGCGGACTTCGTCGTTCCCGAACAGTTACCTCTTGTGCTACGGGGTCGTCTGCAGGGTGATGTCGCGCTGCTCCTTGTAGTGTTTCACCCAATTCTCGTAGGTGTCGAGCCCCATCATGTTGAAGACGCAGGCCGTATCCACAGCTCCCATCCAGGTTTGCCCGAGGTCTCGATGTCGATCGCCAGGCTCATGTGCTCCACGAAGTTCGACCTGGACGCCACCTTCGCCTCCCTCTCAATGTAGCTGCATACCTCGTCGTCCTTGAGCACCGTCATGGCCACGAATCCTCATGTGGGCTTCTCAGGCTTCTTCGGATTGGCGGGGCACTCGCGATGCCAGTGCCCGAGCTTCTTGCAGATGCCGCACTTGGTCCGCTTCTTGACCGCCTTAATCGTTTCCTCGGCCTTCCGGCGACCCTTGGTGGTGGGAAACCCTTTGTTGATCTTCTTGTCGGCCATTGTCTTCCCCGCT